TATTGAATTTAGCTGAGACAGTAAGAGTAGCTTTGATCAAGGTTAGAGGAAAGAATTGGATAGAACTTAAGGTCCATATCCCCTAAAAGCAGCTTCTATCATCGTTGATGTCCAGGAAAATCAAAGATATTAGGCTGGCAACTTCGATAGATGCCATCAACAATTTAAGCTCTTTGTTTCAAAAATGCTTATTTTTCGAGATATAGTATATGACAATATAAGTAAATCTGTTTGTACTTATGTAGTAGCCATTTATGGTGATGGGGAATGGAACAATCCTCAATGTGTTTAACACTTTTGTATAGCCTCTTGGAGTCGTTATTCTACAAGTGTAAAGTTATGAATTTATCAATACAATTCCTATCATTTCAGAAAAAAAGAACTAGCAGTTGTAAACTTCACCATTTTCACATGCACTCTAATTACCCCTGCCCCAAATTTATACCACCATTATACAATAATTTTATCAACTTAAACACGTACAAAGTCTACATCCAGGGGTATACTAGAGATTTTAATAATGTAGTGGTACTAATATAGATTGTTTTTCAGATGATAGTTTTTTTTTGAGTAACCAAAGCGATTTAGAAGCATTTTTATTTAGCAAAATGAGCAAAAGGGTAATTAGGATTTTTGTAAAAAAAATTTATGCAAATAATAAAAGTAAGGGAGGTAAGTGATGTTTTTAAAATTTTAACAGTGTTAAGTGATATTAAGAGAAATCTTATGAGAGTTATTCCTAATATATATTAAGACGGAAGTTGTACGATATTAAGAGAAATCTTAGGAGAGTTATTCCTGATATATGTGTTAGGCTTGTGTTATTAACACACAAGTCACAAGTCACAACACAGATGTGATGCCTCCAGGTGACAATCCACTTGGTCTTTAATTGATCACAGATTAGATCCACGCAACCGATCAACAAACATTTGGTCAACACCTCCCCGAGTAAGTATAATAATGGTAATCTCAGTTTAATCAGCTCCTAAAAGGATGAAATATGTTAAACAATGACATCCAACTTATATATGTGTATATATAAATTAATCATATACACATTGATAATGTATATACTTTCACCTTAGGATGTATGCCACTTAATCCCATCAATTTCAAAAATTTACATCCACCTCCCCTATATATTCGATTACCTGAAACCATCTTCAATTTCTCTCTATATTACGTGGAAAAATAGCATGTACTATTTTAAATGCAAAAACATCTATTATCTCATCTACTCTCTTACCTTCATTCTTCTCCCTTATTTTATCCCACTTCTTATCCAACCATCACTAAAGATTTTCTAATTCAAAAAATTTCTTGGCCATCTAAAAAGTTAGAAAAAAATGCCAATAGAAAAAATTAGATCTGGTGGATGCATTAACAATGGATTTAAGACAGTAAGCAATATACAAATGGATGTAATAGCAATAGTGGTAGGTGCATCTCTCTAAGAACTTTTTTTTGGGTAGCCTACGAATTTTGGGTTGCTAAAACATCTTTTTTGTAGTTTTTTTTGGGAGTTATAATACTAGTAACATAGAAGAGTAGTCGATGGCGATTGTAACTCCCGTAGTACGGAAAGAAGAGCATGTAAAAGAGTTCTTTGTTATTTTTTTTTTCTTTTTTTTTCCACTTGTATTTGTAGTGGTTTTGATTGGAGGCAAAGAGGAGCATAAAAGTGTGTTACTTTTTTTTCCATCATGATATATTGGGATGTCCATCTAATATCTTTGACTAACATAAGCAAATTAGGTTATTTGTTATTGAGTACATGAAAATAAGAGGTGTATGTGTAATTATTGAAGTTATAGAAGAGTTAGGTGAAATTGTTAGACATCTCAAGAAAAACTTTTTAAATTATCCATAATTTTGTAACTTGGGTGTCAAAGGCATTTGATGAAGTGGAGATCTGGTTAACACATAAGTTAATTTAGCAAAGGTATCATACATCTATACTATATATAAAGCCTGAGAAAGGGATTTGGGATTAATATTGAGGTTAAAATTTATCATCACTTCATGAATATCATTTTTTATCCTTATAAAAAACTATTTTTATTTTAACTGTCTATAACTATCCATGACTATTTTTACTTTTAACTATTTAAATATATGTTTTTAACATAATTACCTCTAAATATTATAACTACCAATATAAAAATTATTTTATGAAAAATATTGAAAAGATTAAAGATTGCCTCGGTAATAAAAATTTTATTTAAACTACATGATTATAAATATTGTGTATTTTTTGATTGCACACACATTGGGTGTGGGATAAAGCTCCCTACTCAGCCTCATCAATGTACTATTGCCACGTTGCCTTATTCACATGCTTTTTTTTCCCACAACATTTTTGCTTGTGGCTTTCAAACATTAGATAAAATGAAAAGTATATTGAATCAAAAGGACTCGTCTAAAAGTTCAGATTTTCACTATTTATTTCTCATAAGCAAAGTGACAGAAGTACAATGACGAGATTGGATAGCGTGCTTGTAGGACTATCTTTGAGGTCGGGCTAACCCAAATTCGGCTCGTTCGGCCCGAAAAAAGTCCGATGAGCCCGACCCTTTAGTAAGTCGGTTTGAACTTGAGCCTAACAATTATGTCCGAATTAAATATGAGTCGAGTTTTGGTCTCATTAGTCTAAAACCCGATATAGGCTCGGCTCTTAAATTGCATATATATATAATGATATATATATAATATATATATTTTGATATTATATATAATTATATATCCAAATATATTATTAATTATTAAATATACACAAATTACAAAACACAAAAACACATATTTGAAGACTTTTGTACTAACTTTCTTGAGAGCCAATATTGGTAATGCATAACTAAAACTTTAACTTTTCTCATTGGTTAAGTAAGTTTTTGTATTGACATAATATTGGTTGATTTCTTTTTGGTTTAGAAATACAAATCATCAAATATGTTTTGATTCAAATCACAAAGTTATAAAGAAGTTCTAACCTTTGAAGATGTATTGACTTATGATCACATGTTTTGTTACTATTTTTCATGTATTTGAACAAATTAGGTATAAATATTGTTAAAAAATTATTGGTTTATGTACTTTTTAAGGCCTATTATTTGTTCATGTTTAGTTTTAATGTTATAGTCCTGTGAATGTTAAATTAGTTTTACAATCCAATAGTATAGTAATTATATTCAGAAAATTGAGGAGTAATAAGTAAATTTGAACTAAATCCGAATAAGACTCAAAATCCGAATATTTTGTGAGTTAAGTATGATAATTATATTTATTAATCCGAAACTCACGGTCCAAAATCCGAAAATATTACAAATTAAATTAGATGAATCTAAATTTATGAAAACCCGACTCATATGACCCGATTGACAGGCCTAGATGCTTGATGAGGAGCTGAGGATCTCATGTGCCTTCCTCACTTAAAATTTTTAAAAAAAAAGGAGAAAGGGAAGAGTTGAGTTGTTTTTTGGAAATTAGCAAATTAAAATTTTAATATCTCAAGTATAATTAAGCTAGTCGAATTGATTCCTGCTACTTGTACAGAGACATATATACACAAATTCAACTGGGAAATAATTTTTCAAACAGGAAAAGCAGGAACGAACAAACTAAACATCCAGAAAATTTTTACCTTGAGAAAAAAAAAAAGAGACACTATATAGAGAGACACATCATTTTGTTTTAAGATAGGCACTTGCAAGAGCACCCGTGGCCTCTTTAGGCCTATTAGGATAGATTAGATTATACAAATATTATCATTGTTGGAAAAAACACGCACACACACCAATGTAGTAGTAGTTGACTTCTTGTTATAGTAGATTAGTCCGTAAGAAGAGGGGCAGGAACGATTGCAGTTTCTGACAGTTCACGGCCAAGATTTGGCCAAAAAAAATTGTAAGGTCCATATCTCATCTTATACCTCGTTTTTAACATCATGTGTGGGGCCCACAAAAATTTATTCTAAAATTACACGTTGTTGAAAATAAATTACACTACGTACAAATAGAGTTACGCCGCGTGAAAAATGTACATAACCTTCATAAACGATTGCACTCCTGCCCCTGATCCTTAGTCTGTGGGTGGAGCTGGTTGTCGAACAAGATCGAGTTGATGTTACTTGCAACATGGCCTAAGCTAGTCTTGTTTTGGTCACCTGCTGAGTTGGCCAGTCTGTCTCTCTGTGAAGCCGCACGCACGGCTGGTATGAGGGCGCTCAGGTACGCAATGCATGCAAGGGGCGTTTTCCACCTGATATAAGCTAAATCAGTTCTTCAATGGGTCCTATCCTGCTGTTACAAGCCACCCAATCTCATCTTGTTTAATCCAGTAATTTGTCGCATCTTGTGCCACTACTTTTGTGGGTCCAATATCACAGATCTGCTGGTACGTTGACTGTTTCACAACCGAACAAGGAAAATTTATGTAGCCTATACAAGTTATTTCCTGCCTAATTCGCCCGTCCCCCAATCGGTTGCAATTTTGAGTCCCCACAATATTCAACAAATTGGATAACTACCCTGAGGAAAAGGTCTACTAGTTTGCAGTCCTTAACCCAATGATGCACGATGATACTCTGTCTATGCGTACATGTAAACCTTTAGGTATATGCCCCGTAGATGGTAATGAATATGTTTGGATAGAGTATTATTTAAAATAATTACTATAACATTTTTTGTGATGTAATGTATGTAAAATAAAAAAATAATTAAATAAATTAAAAAATATATTTATAATGCGAGCGAAATATTATTTGAGATAATTTAACAATCCAAACACACTTAATATTTCTTGCGATTGTAAACCTTTAAATAATGCATGCACGCGCCAGAATGCCGGTATATTTTCAAGTTTCCGGGTAGTAAAATGTGAGTACCCAAGTTCAAGGGGGCAAAAGTGTGATGAACCCAAAGTATAGTAGGTACTCAGGTTTGACTATTCATCGGATGACACGTGGCTTCAACGCTTTGAATTGCGTGAGAGCAGTGACCTGCCTGCGGGTGGGGGGAATCAATATGAGCCCCTATTTCTCTCTCTCTCAGGCTCAGCCAGCACTTGGCATTCAGCGGCCGCAGACATGCAATTGAACGAAGGAGAAGAAAGACCCCAAACCAAGAACAAAAGAGTGGTATATGCTTCCTATCCGAATAATAATCTACTGATTGATTGATTGATTTTAATCCAACACCACCAGCAATTTTATAGCAGTTTGGCAATTAAGAAGAAGGAGGAGGAGGAGAAGAAGAAGAAGAAGAAGGAGAAGAGATGAGTAAAATGAAAGCTTCGAGCTCGGAATTGGATTTGGATCGACCAAATATCGAGGACTATCTGCCCTCTGGATCCATCCAGGAACCTCACGGCAAACTTCGCCTGTACCTTACTGCTGCTGCTTATTTCTCTCTTAAATATATATTATATAATTATACAAAAATCAACTTTGGGCTAGCTAGGTAAGGGTTTCGGTCTATAGATTTCTAAACTCGACTGTGCCTATCTTTTTTTTTTTTTGTAGGCGTGATTTGCTCGACATTTCCCCTACCCTCACTGAGGCGGCTGGTGCCATTGTTGATGTAAACGCCTTTCTCCACCTTTTTTTCAACATAAGTAGAGAAAGTGGATATGATTGATTTTAATCCGAATAATATATCACAGGACTCCTTCACACGATGTTTCAAGTCGATTCCTTCAGAACCATGGAACTGGAATATATATCTCTTTCCTTTGTGGTGCGTGGGTGTCCTTGTCAGATACTTAGTTCTTTTTCCATTAAGGTTAGTTTTTACTACTAGTTTTGGGCTTCTCTGCCTCTTCCTTATCATACCAAAAACAGGGATAAACGTGGATTCTGCATATAGATCAACACTGGGACTGGGAACTTATAAAAGATCTACCCCTTGCTTTGCAATGCTATACTAAGTTTGAAGATTTACTGTTGCTTGTTCAGTGGTTGGCATACTTTGTATAGGCTTATCGGCTGTGGATTTAATCAAGTGTGCAGAATTAATTGTTTAAGTACGTGCTGTAGTAGTTGATAAGTCGGAGCCATACCAACTTGCATATACAACTAGTTTCATCATGTTTGTAATACTAGGTATGGCTTTCATCATGTTTTCGCCAATTTATACTTGACCTCCTTAAGTTTGAGAGAGAAATGCACGTATATGTATGTGAGAAAATTATTTCATTCTTTGCTTTTGGTCTATCTATCAAACAGGGTCTGCTGCAATTCCGGTGATACTTTGAAGGCTTTTTTTTTTTGGGGTTAAAATACAGAAAAGCCCCTTGTGGTTAAGCGAACCCATAGAAAAACTGCTATAGTTTCAAAACATATATTTCGGTACCTTGTAGTTTGAACTAATTTGAAAAAGTGATGGAAATTGTCTGAATTAATGGGTTTGAGATACACGTGCCTCTTTTGCGAGTATTTGTATTGAAAACAAATAAGTTTTCAGCTGATATACCTATTGTACTCTTTTGGGGATAAAATGCCAAAAAGCCTCTTGGGGTTAAGCGGACCTGCAAAAAAAAAATCCCCTATAGTTTTAAAACATACACTTCGTGGTTTTAAACTTTTTATTCTTCTCAACTTTCCCCCTCAATATTCTATACTGTTCCCTCTAAAATTTTTGATGTGTCATTCTTAATTACATTGGCTTCCCTTAATAAATTAAGAATTCTTAATACTTATGCTTCACAAAAGTGTTATATCTAATTAAGGTTTGTTATTGATATAAATCCAAAAAAAAATTCTTTTGACGTTGCTAAATTACCACTATATTATAGCATAACATATATGTCAAAGTCTAATGGAAAGAGTGTGTTTAAAATAAGCTTTTTTTTATTGTAAATTTACTATGATTATATTTGGTGTGATGTCGAAAGTTGACCCCTATGACCCTAAGGTCCTGACTCCACCACTGAGCAAGAGAGGGGAGGAAGGGAGAGAAGGAAGAAGAGGGAGTGGGGTGGTGATGGAAGGGAGGATGGCAGTAGGAGTGGTGGTAGCAATTGGTAACCACAGAGGGCTTTTCTGCAAGTTGATTTAACCATAGGGGATTTTTCCTTAATTTGCTTAACCAGGGCGGTTGTTAAAGGGATTTTTTGCTTATATGTATATTAGGATGATTGTGTTATTTCATCTACTTCCGTTACTTTTAACGATTTCTATTGCTATTTGATATTAGTTTAAACCACGAGGGCCCATAATGTATGATTTGAAACTATTAGGGGTTTTTCCGTAGGTTGCTATTTCGATACCATTTTAATGAACTTCATTATTATGTAGCTGTTGGAACTGATGATTTTCCAGTGCTTAGGGTTGGGGATTTTGCAAAAGAGTTAGTTTGTAAATATCGTTAATGTTCTGCTATCTCTTAATGCTTCGAAATCTCATCACAGGGTTATCGTGTTGACAGTAGGATGGATAATATTTCTCTCATGCTATATTCCAGTGCATTTGCTATTGAAAGGGCATGACAAGTTGAGAAAAAAATTGGAGGTAGAATTACTGTATACTCTTTTGCTCTTTTCGTGCAAACTTTCTATCTGTTACATAGAGTCTGGTAATTGTGAACAACAGTTTAGTATTGTAGTCATTCTATTCCGTCACTATTACTGTAGGATTTGGAAATTCTGCAAGGCTCACTTGAATTGGTTAATTTGCTTTAAAGTGTCAGCGTAGCACCTGTAAACTTAGGAAATTTGAATATAATAGTTTTATTAGCAACAATCAGATGATAGCACGCAAGTCTCCACTTTGTTTGCTCTTGTAGCAGAAGATAGATAGTAATATTTGATGTACGGCTCTGATTTTTTTTCTTTTTTCCCTAAAATTTTCCAAGAGGTGTCTTGTGGAGTTGATTTGCAGTTTCTTTGTGGCATCATGGACTGGGGTTGTCAAATATCATGGTCCACGTCCTAGCATCCGGCCTAAGCAAGTATGCTGAATTTGGTGTTGATTTTTTAGATGCATCAGAGCACTTTCTGCTTCTAGTCCAAATGAAACCTTTTTTCCTAACAGAATTTGCACTTTAAATGGTTGAAACAGGTATTTGTAGCAAATCATACATCAATGATTGATTTCATTATTCTGGAACAGATGACTGCATTTGCTGTAATTATGCAGAAGCATCCAGGGTGGGTTGGTAAGTGTCTGTTATTGGTTTTTTGTACTTCACACTGTTGTTGGAACTCTTAGCTCTGAATTTTATCTCCCCTACATGGAACATGACTGCCCATTAAAAATAGAGAGGTCTTTTTGGTAACTTACGATAACCCCCAATTTCATGTTCAGGGATCCTGATTTTGTAAAATAAAGATTTTTGTTTTTTTAAGTCTTTCATGATTCACCCCATCTAGAAATTTCAGGTAATCATTGAGTTGAACAATATGCAGTTATGTATAATTTTTGAAATGAATGCAGAGTTTGGAATTGATGTCTTGAGTAAGAATGCTGTGCGCTAGTTCGTTGCACATATTGGAGGTCAAAACTGTTTGTACTTGTAGCATTATCGTTGTTGGCTTTGGAGTTTACCTGTGTTTCGCCTTTGGTGAGAGAGAAATGTAGTAGCACGTATCAGAACTGGAGCAAACAGTAACGTGTTTTTGCGTCCCTTAACTGGTCAAAAAAATAGATGACAAACAATTTTGCCAGTGTCCTGATTCAGGTCATTTCTGGACATCATGGGTTGGCTTGCTATGTGCTGTTCTCTATTACAATCTGCTTTGTTTGCTTACAAGCAAATTTTCTCCATCTTCAAACATATTTAAACTGATAGGCCTGGAAACAGTAGCTGATTTAAAATTGGAGAACAGAGATTTACCTTCTTTTTCTTCAGTACATGCTATCTTTTGGTTCCAGAAACTTGTTAGTTTGAATTTGCTTGTAATATGTAGTGTTATAAAGGTAATGCTTTGCAACAGTGAAAGATTACTGAGGGGCAAAATCAGAGAAACTAAATGTATGTTGTTCTCCAATATCTGGGGTCGGGTGGTATCAATTAATTTTACAATATATGACATATTTGTAGGGTTATTGCAAAGCACTATTTTAGAAAGTGTTGGATGCATCTGGTTCAACCGTTCAGAGGCTAAGGACCGTGAAATCGTAGCAAGAAAGTATGTATTACTGAACAGCCTACTCTGCTTCCTTTTCTTTTCGGATTGAGTATTGTAGTTTCAATTCTCTATTTTCAGGCTAAGAGAGCATGTTGAGGGGCCAGACAACAATCCTCTTCTTATATTTCCTGAAGGAACATGTGTAAATAATCATTACACAGTTATGTTCAAGAAGGTAATTGTTGTCTAACACTAGCTAAATCTACTGAAGATATTGAAAATTGGAAACTGCTCACAGCATACTTTTTCCTTTCTGTCATTAATCCTGTTTACAACTGTGGTCAAAGTTTAAATTCTCTATTGTCAGTTATTAAACAGTTTTTTATTTTTATTTTTTGTTTTTATTTTTATTTGGGGTGGGGGTTGTGCAAGCTGTTGGGTCCTGCTTCTATGTTCAGCTTAGCGATGATTTCAGTTCTGCAAAAGCTTGGAACTTGTACTTTTCTCTGTTTTCCCCTGCAGGGTTTCAAACTCCTGTTCCTGCATTCGCCCTCCTTTTTCCTGTTATTTGGTGAATCTTAACCACATTTGAGGAAGTTCTTGTGGTTAACTAGGTCACAACTTACGTAATCTTTTTTGTGATGGTTAGGGTGCTTTTGAACTTGGTTGCACTGTTTGCCCAATCGCAATTAAGTACAACAAAATATTTGTCGACGCCTTTTGGAATAGTAGAAAGTAAGATATCTTTATCCTGTCTCAACTTGGATTTTCCATATTATTGATGTTGAATGAGATTCTGCTCTCCTGTTGCAATGCTATCTGTAAAGCACGCATCTTTAGATGATTAAGCAGTGGTCATGTGATTAAATTGTTCACATCTCCCCGTTAGTAAAAAGAAAACCAATATGGCTTACTTCAATGACATGTTTCTTGTTGTTAGGCAATCCTTCACAATGCATCTGTTGCAGCTTATGACATCATGGGCTGTTGTTTGTGATGTGTGGTACCTGGAGCCCCAAAATCTGAAACCTGGAGAAACACCAATTGAATTTGCAGAAAGGTAGATGGCTTTCCTGAATTGTGATGCTTAAATAATATTGGCGGTTTGTGTGCTGTTGGATTTCACTGGAGCCATATAATACTTCTTTCTCGGAGAAATCCTCTTGATAAAACAGGCTTAATTTCCATTGGCAGGGTGAGGGACATTATTTCTGTTCGAGCGGGCCTTAAAAAGGTCCCATGGGATGGATACTTGAAATATTCTCGTCCTAGCCCTAAGCATCGTGAGCGAAAGTAAGTTCTCAGTTGTTTAATTGCTTTCTTAAATTACCGTCTCCAGAACCGCCCCGGCTAAGGAGATGGTGCACAAAATTCTTGAGTTGATCTTTACGAGTCAAGTTGTTCATTTTTGGCACAAGTTTTTTCTTCTCTGATCATTCTCATGTATTCTGTCAATTGCAGGCAACAGAGCTTTGCAGAATCAGTTTTGCGCCGCCTTGAGGAGAGATAGGAATATGATCCGACACGGTTTTTTTTGGGCATGCGTAATTAGACTGGCAGGAATCAGAGGTCAAATGTTGATATGAAGTTCATTTTAATTTTTGTATTTAATTGGAATTATTTATTTGGATGACGTGCATTAAGCAAAGTGCTGTGACTTCTGGCTTCTGATGCATGTTTATGATTTAGTTGAATCCATACAGTTTGGGGCTGGAAGGGAGAAGATTGGTTTTGCCTGACACATGTAGTTGCTTGTTATAAAGGATAAATTTTGTACGTTGATATTGCACGGCGGAGGTAGTGGTCAGGCAGGCGCATGAATGTTTTGGTTATAAGGGCGGTCGTTTTTCTATTAACATTATTGTCTCCGGAGTCGTTTAATGTTGACGTGCTGACCAAAGCGCAGAGTATTTGTAGTCGAAAACTGGGATGATGAAGGATTAATAAGCAGACTTTTAACTGACCAAGGAAGAACCAGGAGGAGTTGTGCAAGAAACGCTTGAAAGTAAGAAAGAAGAAGGGGTAATTTCGTAAACCACTTACAAGGTTTTTGGCAATTTTATTGGCCTTCCTTGAGATTTGCAAAATGACATTGACCTTTCCTAATAGAATTGTTGGTCTATTTGCTTACCTCACTTGGGAACAAATGACTCATATATCCTAAGATATTATTATATCTTATTAGAAACCAACATATGACAATTAAGTAATTAGAGCACTAATTAATTGTTGTAATTAATTAACGAAAAGAGCTGTTGTTGATATCATACCTGTTTGGATTGCATTTTTCATGATTTTTTATGGAAAAATTACTGTAGCGATTTGATGTATGTGAGGAAAAAAGGTAATAGAAAAATGTGATCACGGAAAATGATGTAATTTTTCGACGGAAAATCACAATCCAAACATCACTAAAGTAATGAATACACCAAACAATATTTTATTTGGATTTTTTTCACTCTAAAAAATTATGGTCAGATGCCTTGTGATTATGCTTGCAAAAAATTTTACGATTCTCACCTTAGATTGATGAAGTCATAGTAGTTTATACACCAACTTATATTTCACTTTTAACTCGCTAAATTCACACCAAATCACAGTACTGGATTTGTTTGGATATCAAATTTTTTCTAATAATATTTTGCTTACATCATAAACACATTTTCAATCCACTTTTTTATATTTTTAATTTTTTTTATTTCATATACATCACATTATCAAAAAAAATGCTACAATAATTATTCCAAATAATGTTTCAAATTCTGCTACTTCAAGTAGAAATGAGATCCCTGTTTGGGGGTTCAGTCCCACATCGGGGTTGTTAGGGGGATTGGGGTAGTATATTAGTTCCCTGTGAGACCTCAAGGGATACCGGCTTTTGGGGTTCTCACGGGATTCGGGTTAGTTTATTACCACAAAAGTTTTAACTTGCTTGGTAAAAAAGTAGAAATGAGATCCATCATCTTAATAAATAGGAGTAGTGCTTCTCTATTTGTTTAACTCCTCACGGGGCTTTTAGCTTTCCGCTATCGAAGTGTCCGGTGTACCTCAGAATTTTTTGTGCCTGCTGGTCCAGCTTTCTCAAGATTCCAGAGCGATAAAAAAAAAAAAAAAAGATTTCTGACAGGTAGTTGCTTCCCGAGTCTTCATGAGTTATGACAATCAGACTGGCTGCTGGTATATGACATTTCCCCAGTAGGAGCACTGTATTATTATTTATTATTTACTTATTAACATATGTATAAAAGGGCGAATGCCATGGCTCAAAAGTGTTGGTTATTTTGCTGATGTGGCCAATCGTTATTGGCTGGAGAGTGTTCGTCCAAAACTATGTGTGTGCGTGTGTTTTTCTTCTTTTATAACATCAACCAAATGACAAAGAGGCAAGATTTGTCAAGACTCTCCGGTGGTGTGCACGTGACTTATCTATCTTCTACCATTTACTAAATTTTTTTTGCTTTCAGGCACTGGGCTCAAGAAAGAGAGACGTCACAACTCAGAAGAATGCCTTTCCTCCTCTCCTTCTTTCAATGGCCGTCTCTCTCGCCCAGAAAGCCCTCTTCATCTCTTGTTGTTCCTATTCTTTATCACTAAGGATGCCATTTTCCCTCCCTCATCTTGCATTTTTCCGATCGACAACAGCAAAAATCCAAGATATGGTTGGTAATTTTTTGTTTCAAAATCTCTTCCTCCTCTTTTCCAGAGCTTTTCTAATCTTTTGTTTTTTTTTCCCTTTTTGCGGGTTTAGATGTCTAATTTTTTTTTTTTTGTTTTGTGATGTTGCGATGTTGCAGGTATGAAATTTGGAGATTTCTCCATCATCCTCATGCTATTTTGTAAGTTTTTTCACCCTTTTCAAGTCCCTTTTCCTCTCTTGTCCTTCGTTTTCTCTAATCAATAGCAACAAAATCAAAGATATGGTTGGGATTTTTTGCTTCAATTCAAAATCTCTTTTTCCTTCTTTTTCCAAAGCTTCTCTAGCCTTTTGTGTTTTTTTCCCTTCTTTTTTAATTTCCCTTTTTTCCCTTTTGTGATGTTTTGATGTCACAATTACGAAAATTGCAGATTACCTCCACCATTCTCATTCTTTTTTCCAAGTTTTTTCCCCTTTTTTAATGGTAAGTTCTATATGGTTATTTTCTTAAAAAAAGACTTATTTTTGCTGTATCCTCCCCTTACTTTTCCCTTATTTCCATCCTTTTTCCCGTGACCAAAGACACGTCAAAATGCATTTAAAAAATTTGATTAAGTTCTTTTTGGCGGATTTAAAAAGTTTTTTACCCATGTTTGATTGTATAATTTGTATATTTTGGTGATGTTGCAGGTCCAAAAATTCGGATTCTCTCAAAAAACTGCTAATGTGGTAGTATGGATCAACATTATTCCCAGCCTGTTTTGCATAATATTGGTGAATATTTTGAGTGAGCCTTCTTCTATTCGCTTATACGTGATTACAGTTTATACTCTGCTTTGGATTTTTTTCGTTTATATATTTGTTTTTATAACCTATTAGATGTAAGTTTCAATTTTGGTTATCATGAACAGTTTATCCGCTTAGTTGTGTCTTGGAAAGTTTAGTTTTCTGACATGTTTCCTTGAGCCTTTTATATTGAAAATTTATAAATCCTCACTAGATGTTGGACTCATTTGTGTATTTCATGGGTATGTCCTTTTTGTGTTTTTTTGTGCGTAGGGTTACTTTTTTTTCCTTGTAATGATACAAGTAATGATACAAGTTTACTTTTTTTTCTGTTCTAAAGTGCTGTAATGATACAATCATATTTTATTTATCAAATGTTTGATAGAATATTGAAACCATTCATTTGTTATATAGTAGCTAAAATTGGGAAAAAAAATTGTCCCCTCTAACCCACTCTCTTGATTTTCAACCGAAAGACTTTGCTCCTCTATCCATGAATTTCCTCTTCCTGTTCTCATGGTCTTCACTTGCTAATAAAAAAGGAGAAGCTATATATGCTTCTGTTATCTCTTCTTCTATTGTAGTTCTACAAAAAGAAAAAGTGGAGATTGTCATGTGATAAAGCCTCTAAAATTTCTCAAGGTAGCTTCCTCTATTTTATAGTATTCTCTGTGTCATCATTTGGCCGGTAATGCTTACTAATTCTTCTGCACATGAGCTTATGGTGGGCTTCCTTTTTTCCATCTCCAGCATCAGTACACATGAGGTGATAAGGTGGGAGTATTTCTCCTGTTCTTTTGTTTAGGCCTTTATTTTCCATAGTTTGGTTGCCCGATCTGTGTGATTATCCTCCGGAGAAATGTTTTTGCTTGCTAAAGTTCTCTCCTGAATTTCTTGCTTTTGGCCACGGGCTCGAGGAGTCTGGAATCATTCGTCATAGAGAGCTCCCCTTTTCTTTCTCAGCCAAGTTTCTCTCAATCTCTCTCCCCTATTTTTGCATCTGATTACTTTTTCCTTCTCCCAAATGGCATAGTGCTTAGAGGATCTGATTTCATGTTTTCATTTACAAGGTTAAAGAAATCATTTAAGAAAAAGGATCATTTTGATGCACTGATTGCTTTTTTTCTTTGCGTATATTTATCTGTGATTTTTCCCTTCTTTTTTTCTTGGTTTATACTCTTAGATCAGTTTGCTATTTTATAGAGTGAGGATGGAAGGGAAGAAAAATGACCTATGTGTCCACAACTTTTTAGTCTACAAGTTTTTTGCTCTGGTTTGTTTCCCTTTTTTAATTTGTATAAGCTGATCTCTCCCTCTTTCTTTCTATGACAGAGGTTCATGGAGGATGATTAAAAATTGTGGCGAAACCCCTGCCATATTGTGAAATTTTTCATAGTGATGATTAAAAATATCTTAGAGAAACTAGATATTTTTTTCATAGCGAACTTCTTTTTCCAAGGTACTTCTACTATATTGTGTTTTAAAAGAGTTTCAATATTTTTGTCCAATGAAGAGGACAACCAAGTTTAATCCTTTTTTTTAACTGATCTTTATTTTGTTGAATATCCCTAGCAAATATTTGTGTTATACACTAATATGTATTATTGCCTTTTAAGATGGCCTTTTCTTTCCACCTCATTTATCACATACATTCAATAGATGATTTTACCTTTTTTTAATCTCTTTTTCCCAATTTACCTAATTCAATATGTATTGTCAGGTTCTCTATACTGAGCTGACAAACATTATGATTTGTTATCTAACATTCGGCAGTTAGTTAAGGTACTTTCTGTCATACTTTTTGTTCTTTAATAGTTATCAAGAAATTGTGAGCCTTTTACAACATGTATGTGTTTTGTTTGTCTACTGCAACTATGTATTATCAGGAATTTGTATTTAATTATATGCTTTTGGTATTATGTTAAATATGTTCCAAGTGATACGAAATAGGACTCTACTTCTTCTAAATTTTCAAGTCTCAACTTGTGCACTGATTATTAAAACCATTGACATTCATGTATTTGCTAATAATTGGGTGTTCGATTTTAGTTTGCCAAGTTGCATATCTGTTAATTTCAATGAATTCATTTGAATGAAGACAATAAATAATGCTTTGCATTTGATGCTTGCAAATAATCAGTGGTTCATTCCACTAGGGCAAATCTTGCTTTATTTTTTTTAATCTTTAATCCCTTTTTAAAAACTAGAAGTGAGATTTTTTGTCTGTGATAGGTTTCTTTCAATTTGTAAACCTTCCAATATGTAAGTTGTTGACTGGAATTGTTTACAGCCTAGAGGGGATTGACTTTTGATGATAATTTCATGGGATGCTTGACTTCAAAAAATTAATGATATATCTCATTTTGTGCTTGTGAAATGAATGGTGGAATTTTCTCTTTCTATGAGGCAGAAGTGTTGTTTGGATTTAAGGATTTTGTCTTCTATTATTTTCTTAAATATGCTTTTAGTACTTCTGGTAATAAAAGAGTTTCATTCATTTGCACTTTAGATGGTTAGGTACTGTTATTTTTTCTGGTGGCGACTTTCTTTTAATTTGCAAAAGATTTTTCTCAATTCACCTTGAGAATGAAAATTGTGATTCAACTTAAGGTGACATAGCTATAACAAAATAAATCTGCTTAAGAATAAAATGAGCTAAGGCTCACAAAGAATCATAGTCTTGAGTTTTTATCAAATAAAAAAGGTCAAATCATTTCTAATGAAACTATTGCATTACTTTGGCATTGATTGTAAACTATGGAAACATTTTGTTTTATTATTGGATATGCATGCAAGTTCTTTGTGTAATTTTCTAACTGAAGGGGGAGAATTAGCAAGCATTAAGGGGAAAGCTCAGTGATTTGTTTGTCTTTATCTTCTACTTCTATGCCTGTGATTGTGTTCAAGCGTGTTCTAACACTTGATTGAGAAGTTTAGTCAGGTTTGCTGCCACATATGTTGAAGAAAAAAAATCAGAAATAAAAAGTTACTTAGGAGTTAGAACAAAAGATAACGAAGTTAAAATAGCAAAACGATGACGTGGAAGGTTAATAATCTAGCTATCATGGTAAAGTTTGCTATGCTTTTTTTATTGTAGGTTTTTTTAATTCTTTCTCCTAATCAAAAGTAGAAGATGAGAAGAAAAATAAGCAGATTAAAAGAAAAACATGGATTTTCAGCCTAATCGAGTCATGTAAAATAGCTGTGAACAGATGTTGTGCACGACACAAGATTTTTTTGCATTGTAATTTCTTCTTCTTTTTCAGCACTTCTCTAGCCTTTTGGACTTTTTGTGGGGTTTGGTAGTCTAATTTTTGTGTATTAATTTGTATATATATGTTGCAGGTGTAAACAATTGGAAATTTCTTCCAACATCAGATTCTGTAAAATTTTCCCCTTTAATAACGTGCATTCTATTTGGTTATGTTTTTAAAAAATAAAAATTTAGCTTTTCTATTTCCATCTTATGCCTAATTTTTTTGGGGTTTTTGCCATATTGGAATCTTAATATTTTTCCTGCAACTAAAAAGGATCAGAATGCATTTAACAAATTTGAGAAAGTGCTTTTATGATTTTTTCCTTTAAAAGATATTTTTGGGCTATATAATCTGTTTATTTTTTTGTGATATTGCAAGCCCAAAAATTGGAACTTTGCTTTCATTCTCTTCATAAACCACTTTGTACAGGGTCTTCCGCGGTTTTCCCTCATCTCTTATAATTCTTGCTTTTGTTTGCTTTGCTTAACTACTTTTTTTTCCTGTATTTTCTTTACCCTGTTTATTTGTTTATTTCATGTTTCTATCTGTTATTTTTCAATCTTCTGTTTTCTCTGAGCATTTTTCCTCAAGTTGGAAAAATAGAAAAAAAATATTTTGTGTCTGTGGGGTTGCAAAGTAAACATTTGGAGCAAAGCTGAAAAGAAAATGTTAAATTTGTTAAATTGGTTGTTATAGAATCTGATGAAATGAGGCTGGCCTTTGCTATATTTGTCTTAATTTCAAGAGGTCCTGAGTCTAAGAAAACGATTCTGGTTCCTAGCATATTTGTCCTACTTGCTATATTTACAGCTTTTTAATTGCTACTGTTTAGTATTAGCTTTATTAATTTATGTTTCTTGTAGAAGAAGAAAATTGTAGTTATAATACCTTTAGTCAGAGAGAACAGAGGGAAAAAATTGTGGTTGTATGTCTTTGTGATTTTTGTAAATTGTGGTTATATTCAGATTCGAGAGTTGAAACAAAGAAGTTGGGACTACTAGCTGAGCCATATTTGGAGGGAGAGCAATCAATGTGTAGATTGGTTGGTCAAATGCAGCATATGATCCATCCAGGTTATAAGTTCCCGAGAGGTGCAAGATTTGTTAGAAGTGGATTTGTTAGGAGTTGTATATCATCATTTTGTTTTTATTTAAGAGGTTGTGACCTCTTCCAATGCACCAAAATAAATAAATAAAAAGGTTCCTTTACGATATGTATCCTTGGTGCTTCTTGTAGGATTTTTTTTTCCTTTTGATTGGCCTTATCCCATAATGTTGTAAAACTGCTCTGGCTGCAAAAGTGTACAGAAATTCCGAGGTTGCTTTCCTCAAAACTCAAAAGACAGGAATATGTTTAAGAATGAGTTTGGAATTATTTTAAGTAATGCAGATATGTTACAATGGTATATGTCCTTATCACGTCTTTCTCATCTCCTATTATATCTTTTAAATGTATTGTATTATAATTTTCATCTTTTGGACTTTATATTTTTTACAATTTAAAACTAATTATGTACTTTTAAGAACACAACTCTGAATATTTTGTTTATCATTCACATTTATAATAATTTGTAAAATAAGTGGGTATAATTGGGCATTTATCCACCGCGCATAAGCGCGGTGAATCCTCCTAGTTTATTCTTTATGTAGTAACAAGTCAAAGTCGTCGCACGATATCAATTAATAGGTTTTCCTCTTTGTACTGGGGAGAATAAAAGTCAGGTGTGATTCACTTAGTCATTTTTATTACATCCGTTTGGATTCTTGTTTTTGGGCCTGTTTTTGAAAAACTGTTTTTCACAATCCAAATGCTACAGTAAATGTGTATTTCAAAAACAACTCCAAAAACACCATATCCAAACAATATATCAAAAATAACTCCAAATACATATTTAATATGTTTATTTCAATTTGTATATTTCAATTATGTATAGGATATATATATATTATATTAATTTAAATATATTTATTTATACATATTATAAATATTTTATTATATATAAAATATATTTATATATATTTATATAAATATTATATATTATATAAATTATATATATTATAAATATGTTATTATACATTTATATAAATGTTATATATTATATATATTTAATATATACATAATATATATTATATATATTGAACATTTATATAAATGTACATTTAAACATAATATATATATATGTATATTTATAATATACATTTATATTATGTATTATATATAATATTATACATTTATACATTTATGTGTATTACATTAATACATTAATACATAATATTAATATATATTTATTATATATTAATTTATACATTTATATAATATTCATTTATAATTTATACACATTTATAATAATAAACATTTATAAATATATTTATATTATGCATTATATATAATATAATAAACTTATAATACATTTATATATTTATTTATAAATATAATATATAATAAATAAATATAATATACTTATTTATTTATATATAATATATAAATTTATTTATAAATATAATACACTTATTTATTTATACATAATATATAAATATATTTATTTATAAATATGTATAATTGTATTATAAATGCATAAATGTATATAAATATAAAAACATAAAAGTTATAAATTATAATATACATTTATATTATGTATTATATATAATATAATACATTTATACATTTATATTAATATACATAATATTAATTATATATTTATACATAATATTAATAAATTTATACATTTATATTTATTACATTAATACATTTATACATAATATTAATATATATTTATAATATATTAATTTATACATTTATATAATATTCATTTATATTTTATACACATTTATAATAATATACATTTATAAATATATTTATATTATGTATTATATATAATATAATACACTTCTAATACATTTATATATTTATTTATATATAATATATAATAAATAAATATAATAAACTTATTTATTTATATATAGTATATAAATTTATTTATAAATATAATACACTTATTTATTTATACATAATATATAAATATATTTATTTATAAATATTTATAATTGTATTATAAATGCATAAATGTATATAAATATAAAAACATAAAAATTATAAATTATAATATACATTTAAAGAATATTAATTTATAATTTATACATATTTATAATAATATACATTTATACATTTATAAATATATTTATATTGTGTATTATAAATATATTTATATTATGTATTATATATAATATAATACACTTATAATACACTTATATATTTATTTATAAATATAATATATAATAAATAAATATAATACACTTATTTATTTATATATAATATATAAATTTATTTATAAATATAATACACTTACTTATTTATAATAATATATAAATATATTTATTTATAAATATTTATAATTGTATTATAAATGCATAAATGTATATAAATATAAAAACATAAAAATTATAAATTATAATATACATTTATATAATATTCATTTTTAATTTATATATTTATAGTAATATACATTTAAACATTTATAAATATATTTATATTATGTATTATATATAATATAATCTATTTATATATAAATATATGAATATATTTATTTATAAAAATATAAATATATTTATTTATAAAAGTATAAATATATTTATTTATAAATATTTATAAATGTATTATAAATGCATAAATGTATATAAATATAAAAATATAAAAATATAAAAATTATAATTTATACATTTATATAATATTCATTTATAATTTATACATTTATAAATATATTTATATTATGTATTATATATAATATAATACATTTATATATTTTTTTATAAATATACTTATTTATAAATATTTATAAATGTATAATTGTATATTGTTATAAAAATATAAAAATTATACATTATAAAAATACTCGAAAATATGTTTTAAAAATACATCTAAAAATAATCCATAAAACATCTTCAGTAAAAGTTTTTTATATAATTTTTGAAAAATAACCCCAAAAACAACTAATCCAAACGGACTTATATTTGAAAAACGAAATGCTACAGTGCTGTTTTTGAAAAACAATCCCAAAAACAGCTAATCCAAACGGATAGTTTTGAATATATGGGTAAATCTTATATATACTGATAATGTATATATTATTATTGTTAGATGCACGACGCATGTAAAAAATTTGAGTTTTAAATTCAAATTCAAATTATGTGTTATGTATCCAATAATGAAAGTATATATATTGTCAGTATATAAAATATTAATTCTTTGAATATACATCATATATGCATGATTTAATTTGAAATTTAAATTTGACATCAGATCATGTAACATAATTTAAAACTGTTAGTGTAAAAAAAAAATTACATACTAATAGTATATAAAAAAATTAGGGATAATTTTACAAACCTTCCTTGAGGTATATGATAATTACAGATAGTACCCCTTAGGTTTAAATAATTACAGAAACCTCCCTTAGAAAATACTTTGAAGGTCACTTTGCTGATGTAAGCAAAAATTCCCCATTGAAAATCCTAAAACGCCCTTAGATGATTATCCTCCAGAAAAACAAAACTCCTTAGTAACGTTAAATTCAAAACATTACTCACACATTTTTATAAAGTTCTTTAGTAAATTTTTCCTATTCGCTAAAAAAATGTTGATACCTACTTGGCCAACAAAACTAATTCAATAAGAATCTATGTGTGGAGGAAACTAACATTTTTATTTACTCTAAAATCACCACTATATGGAGTAAGATTGGGTTTAGGTTTTGTGGGTGTCTATGATAAGATATAAGTTTATCACTCTTGTTCTTCTTTTTTCATTTTTCACTTTTTTCAAAAGGATTTACTAAATTTAATTTACAATACATTAGTTCTCTTCATGGAGACTTTAAATTCAACATTGGATGAAGGTTATTTTTGTCATTTTAGACAATGAGGGGAGGTATGTGTAATTTTTTAAACTTGGAGGGTACTGTCTGAAATTTTTATAAACCTTAGGGGAGGTTTGTGAAATTATCCCAAAAAATTATAAATAAAAAAAAAAAAAATCCAGGGTCCACTTCCAATTCTCCGGTCCAATTTCTCAGTTGCGGTTTATTTAGCGCGTGGACAGGGGACTCCGGTTCCAATTCCCCAGTCCAATTTCTCAGCTGCGGTTAAGTTAGTGTACACCGACGGGGGACCCGCATTTATTGGTTTTATTATCAACTCCAACTCTGTCTACCGCACTGCTGGCTTAGTGCTTCTGCTATTGCGGCTGCTCATCAATCTTCGAATTTGATTTGAAGTAACCCCATTTCCTCCAAATTCCGAATCCAAGCTTCCGCACTCCCGTCTCTGTCCTTCCTCCTCCTCCTCCTCGTCGTTGTGGAAGTGGAACCACAACAACTCTTGTCAAAGTCTTCCAGCAGCAGCTTTCCACAATTGGTCAGGCACCCGGTTTTCCATTCCCATTGATTTATTGATTTTTTTGAAAAAAAGAATCGGCCCAAGAAAGCTCTGAATATCTTATCTCTTGTTTTAGTTTAGTTTCTACCTTCTCGAGAATAAGAGAAATGGATTACCGTAGCAGCAGAGCAGGGGCGCTTCTGCGGGGTTTAAGTTTAGTTTGTTCAGTAGGAGTACTATTCGTGATTTTCTCGTCCGCCGCAGCTGAGCCCTTTCAATGCAACTCCAGCGGCACTTGTGACGCCCTGGTTGATTACGTGCTCCCCAACTCCACCACCCTCTCCCGCATCCAGACTCTCTTCAACGTCAAGAACCTCACCTCCATCCTGGGCGCCAATAACCTCCCGCTATCCACCCCTCCCCAACGAACTTTCCCGGCCAACCAGACTGTCAAGATTCCTTTCCCCTGTATCTGCACCAAGGGGGCCACCGGCAAGTCCAACAAGCTCCCCATCTACACGGTGGTCCCCAACGACGGCCTCTACCACATAGCGGCTGAGGTCTTCTCTGGGTTGGCCACTTTCCAGCAAATCCAGGCTGCCAATAACATCTCGAATGCCAACTTGATTTATGTGGGCCAGAAGTTGTGGATCCCACTGCCCTGCAGTTGTGACCAAGTGGACGGCCAAATGGTGGTTCACTACGGCTATGCGGTCCCAGCTAGGAGCAGCGTCGACGGAATTGCCCAGCAGTACAATACCACCGCCGATGTTCTGTTGCGCCTCAACGGACTGGCCAGTCCTAATGACCTCAAAGCCGGCGCTATTCTCGATGTTCCTCTTAAAGGTATCACCTTTCTGTTTATTTTTCCCTCCTTTCTCTTCTTGTCTTCTTTTTAAATTAAGAAAAGAAAAGAGAAGAACCGAAGACTGAGCGAATTACAACTGCCATTCCGACTGTGATAGGATAGAGGACTACCCACCATTGCAGCTAAGTCAAACTAAAAGAGTCTGTAAAAGTCCTCAGTTTTTTCTAATTACTTC